CACTCCTGTAGTGGCTGTCTTCCTGATAGCCACTAGAGGTGTTTCCACTGCAATAACCAAGTCAGACTTGCTTTTTCAATCAATACTTCTCAAAGAGAGCATCTCATTGGACCGGAATGCGGAAGATGTCAGCATGCATACTGACAAATAAATAGGCTGATCATGTAGCTGCAGCAGCACTGGAAAAGAGGTGAGTAAAATGTATCATCAACATCAAAGAGGGGTGGACAGAATAAACAGTAATTGAAGTGAATGTATAGTCCCAAAAAAGATTATTATTTTCTGAACTATAGGTTTACTTTAAAAACAATCTGTACTTTTTTATTATCAACTATAACAAAACAAGGCAGAAAGCTAGAACTGATATTTTCAAATTTTTGTTTTTTTTAAATCATACGCTGGTATTTTACTTGACTGAAAACGAATCACGGCTCTGCTAAAAATTTTGATTTTACAGCACTCGTACAAATCTCATTGTAATGGTTGGTGATTTACCAGACCTTTACAGAAACAGATTTTTGATTGTTTTATACTCAGAAACAATACTAATAAGGTTTTCACTAAAATGACCCTATACTGAATGGGAAAAAAAACACCTGGTTTCATATCTTCATATGCCCTTATTTGCCATGCTGCAGCTAGTATATCTACCCAAAAAAATTAATTCAAGCCAACCAATCAGAGCACTTTCAGAGTACTTTAGTCTAGTTAGAAGAAAGACGACTTCTGATGGGAAGTATATATATTTTTTTATTTTAGAGATATTTGTTTTAATGCCCCCTTACTATAATCAGGGGAAAAGGGAGTAGGTATGGCTAACTTATTTTAAAATGGTGCCCACCCATTGACCACAGGTGGGAGCAGGAGGGGACATTAAGATAGTCTCAGATGTGGGCATAAAGAGGAATATGTCCCCTGTTATTTAGCAATAGCTGCCCAGTCGCTAGTTTTAAAGATTTAACCGATATGCCTCCACCGGCCGCATGTCAGTTAGGGCAAATGGAGATTTTGAACCAGCCTCATAGTAACATTGGGTCATACTGACCTCAATAGTGTTTTTATTTATGTATATATTTTCACTTTTTTTTTTAATGTCGAACCTGACAAGTAAGCGCTGGCCAGTCACTATGTAATGAACATAATAGTTTTTAACAATTTGCCTGCTAGCATTGCCAGTGGGCAAATAATTGTTCAAATTGTTAACAACTTGCAAATAAAAGCAAATGAATGATAATTTGCTAATTGTATTAATACTTGTGGTTTGGATTTCAAAACACTGATTTTAATCCAGACAGCGAATGCATCCGGGCAGTGGTGTATTTTGGATTTGTGCTGACCTAGGCACGGCTAAATTCGGGCAACCCCAAAATCTAAATCCCCCCCCCCAATTTGTGTTAAGGCCATTTTTATGACTGACAGACACATGCCCTCATTGATGTATGCACTGATATACACTCACTGACAGATACACAGTCATTGGCACACACATACAGAAACATGGAAACATAGAAACATAGAATGTGACGGCAGATAAGAACCATTCGGCCCATCTAGTCTGCCCAATTTTCTAAATACTTTCATTAGTCCATAGTCTTATCTTATAGTTAGGATAGCCTTATGCCTATCCCACGCATGCTTAAACTCCTTTACTGTGTTAACCTCTACCACTTCAGCTGGAAGGCTATTCCATGCATCCACTACCCTCTCAGTAAAGTAATACTTCCTGATATTATTTTTAAACCTTTGTCCCTCTAATTTAAGACTATGTCCTCTTGTTGTGGTAGTTTTTCTTCTTTTAAATATAGTCTCCTCCTTTACTGTGTTGATTCCCTTTATATATTTAAATGTTTCTATCATATCCCCCCTGTCTCGTCTTTCCTCCAAGCTATACATGTTAAGATCCTTTAACCTTTCCTGGTAAGTTTTATCCCGCAATCCATGAACCAGTTTAGTAGCCCTTCTCTGAACCCTCTCTAAGGTATCAATATCCTTCTGAAGATACGGTCTCCAGTACTGTGTACAATACTCCAAGTGAGGTCTCACCAGTGTTCTGTACAATGGCATGAGCACTTCCCTCTTTCTACTGCTAATACCTCTCCCTATACAACCAAGCATTCTGCTAGCATTTCCTGCTGCTCTATTACATTGTCTGCCTACCTTTAAGTCATCAGAAATAATCACCCCTAAATCCCTTTCCTCATATGTTGAGGTTAGAACTCTATCAAATATTCTGTACTCTGCCCTTGGGTTTTTACGTCCAAGATGCATTATCTTGCACTTATCCACATTAAATGTCAGTTGCCACAATTCTGACCATTTTTCTAGTTTACCTAAATCATTTGTCATTTGGCTTATCCCTCCTGGAACATCAACCCTGTTACATATCTTAGTATCATCAGCAAAAAGACATACCTTACCATCAAGACCTTCTGCAATATCACTAATAAAAATATTAAAGAGAAGTAGCACACACTGCACAGTCATAAGCACACACTGTTTAACCAACACACACTTTCACTGACAGACACACACTGACACACCCACTCACTGACAGGCACACATTCTCAGATACACATACAATGACATACACACACTGCCACACACTCACAGGCACACCAATTCTCACTCACAGACACACACTGACAGCTACACTCACTCACTCACAGTAAGGTGGGCAGCCCTAGAACACGAAGCAAACAAGGCATTTGTCTGGGAGCTTGGGGTGGCAAAAAAGAAATGACTCTCCCATCATATGTCTACATTGGGGGAAAAAGAATGAGTCTCCCATCATATATCTACATTGGGGGGAAAATAATGACTCTCCCATCATATATCTACATTGGGGGGGAAATAATGACTCTCCCATCATATATCTACATAGGGGGGAAATAATGACTCTCCCATCATATATCTACATAGGGGGGAAAATAATGACTCTCCCATCATATATCTACATAGGGGGGGAAATAATGACTCTCCCATGGGGGGAAATAATGACTCTCCCATCATATATCTACATTGGGGGGGAAATAATGACTCTCCCATCATATGTCTACATTGGGGGGCAAAAGAACACCAAGCTCTTTTTGCTTCTGATATTTTTATAATATCAGCTGCTTATTTACAGTAATTGTCTATTCGTTTTGATTATCCTTTCAGCATTCTATCTGCAAAATAAAAGGAAAGTGCAAACGAATAATTGCTCTGCTCAGTCTCTAAAATGTATTATTACTATTCAATGCTTTAAAGTGATATGTCATACTAAACTGACCTGTACTCTTGATAGAAATTGTAAATAAAAAAAAAAATAATCTCATGAAATAAAAGGTTACAGAACATTTTTACCTTTTTTATAATGCTTTTTACTGAATTATAGGGGGCATATAAACAAATATGTCTTTAGTTGCTAAAAATCTGTAAATGTCACTGCAGACAATGTTTAATGTAAATTCTGCTGTACTGCAGGGGGGTACATGAAGTAAAATAAAAAAATAAAACAAAAGCAATGCGTAATGACACCAGCATCAACAAAGAAAATGTATTTTAAAAAATACATCTATATGAATACAGAACAAATGTCACAAAATCTGAATCTTTGTTTCCATAGTGCATTTGTCACATCTTATTGTAGTAATAGTAACTATTTAAACCTCTTCTCTTCCATCCAACCTTGCCAGTTTCTCCTCCCCCTCTTTGCACAGGTACAGTGAGCCCCCTCTTGCCTGTCCCCGCAGAGTTCTTTCATCCAGCAGTTTCCCCAACTGAAAAGGATCCTGAAGACCTTACACTTCAGAAAAGCCTTCCCAAGCACTCCTCCCAAGAATTGTGGGCTACTCTACGTTCCCCAGATGTCAACTGCTCGCTCTTGAGACAGGTAGAGCCAATTAAGATTATTCTACAAAATAAATCAGTAATAACTGTTTTAAAGTAAGTAAAATAAAGAATTAAATATTTACGCATGTTTCTACTTTTTTTGCAGGCTACACAAAGCAATTCATCCATGGAAAGTGGTAGTGCAAGCTCAGAAGACAGTTTACAGACCACACTAGAGGACAGTTTAAATTTAAGTGACTCTCCACAGTGCACATTAGACCTTCCGGATCTCCGTGTAGCTCCTGTCTCTAATCGTACTCCTTTGCCTATCTCCTCACTTTCTATGATACCCCGGCGGACCAGCCGTCCAAACTTTGCCCTTCAGAAGGTTCGGCGGCATCAAAGGAGCCATAGCAGTGGTGGTAGCACAAGCCCTGGATGTACTATACATGACTCCATGGACCCTTCTGATGAAGAAGGGGCAGGTGGTAGCCTTAGAGGAACAAGTGAGCCCTCAGAGACCTTTAGCAGTTTGTCGCTTACCTCCCTTTTTTCCCCACCTCCTTCTTTGACACCACCTGGTGGTGTGATGAAAAAATGCAGCAGTGTCAACAGCCTTTCTGTTGCCTCTTCTAGAGTAAGAGGAGCAAAGCAATTTTACGCAGTTGATCCACAGGGCTTCCTTTCAATGCCATCATGGGTGATGGACTTTTACCAAACTTCTACTCCCCCAGAAAACCAAGAGAGCCGTAGCAGTACCGGAAAATTACCAACTGTGGAAAGGGGGATACCTGCCAGTAGTGTCTCAGGAAATGTGGATTTTGGCAATAATAGCCGGAGAAACAGATGAAATTATTTTATTTTTTTTGGGTGGGTATCAGGGTCAGTTTATGGGGTATGATTTCCTAACTCTACATAAGTGGGGGGAAACAAAGCCTTATGGCTCTCAAACAGACCGGCAGGAAATGCTACATTACCTCACTGTGTGAGCCAGCCAAGCAATGCAACAGGAGGTCTCAGAGTGAAGGCTGATGAATACTTGCGCTCTGAATAATTGAAGAAACCACTGTACTGTAACCAGCCAGCACGGCTATTATAGTATGACTATATAAATATATATATATATATATATAATTATATATATTATTTTATTTATATATATTTTATATTTACTCTTGCTTGGGACTTCCTGAAAAGTTTGTATTATAAAAAGGTATCTTTATGTGGCAATACAAATATTTGATGGACGAGAGTTAATGACCCTGTTTTTTGGTAATTTTGATGTTCTCCCTCTATGACCCACATTTTCAATGCTAAAATCTTTTATCCATATTTAAGAAGGTCACACTTCAGGGGCAGCTCTATTCTTTTTGACTTCATAGAGTATGCAATCACATATTCTATAGAGTAATATATAGACATATAGTCCATGAAGTTAAAAGGCTCCTGCGCCATATTCAACATATACCGTCCACTACATACTAAACAGATATTTTTTTTCTGAGGTTTATTCAGCAAATCGTGATGAATTGGTAACTACACTGCAATATATTATTTATTGAATGTTAAAAAAAAAAAAAACAATATTATTTAATATTTTTTAGACAATGCTAATATTTCTCCCTGCTTTTAGGGCTAGACTTTGCAATTTAGTTGTCAATTCACTGCAATACATTATTTAAACCTCTTAATGTCAGGAAGGTTTGTGGCAATTTATTCCTACCTCTTTCTGCCCTTTAATTGACCACATTTAATTGTCACCAAGCTGTATAAAATTTACATTACGTGCCTCATTCATGTTTGACCATTAGTAAATTTTAATCCCTGTCTTGAAAAAATACGAATACGTGACACTTTCTTGTTTTCACATTAATAAATTCAAACGTCCATTATATTCTTTAAATATGAGTTTAAAAATAACTACAGAAGGTTATGTTAATAATCTTCTTTTGCATTGTTTTTAAAAGTCCCTATTGCCTACCAGTGATCTTGGGTTTAAGTCTTAGTAATTTTTATTGTGCGATCTCATATGTTGGCACTGGAAAGGAGTCACACAATGTCAATGCACCGCTAGAAAATCAGACCTGAAGCCACAAACCTGTGTTATGAGATAATGATATTTTTAAAAATGGAGACTGCATTTCTCAAGAGGTTTAATCATTACCTAGTAAACTGATGCTATAACAACATGCCTCAAAAATAGCAGAATATGCTGTCTTAAAAGCAAGTGTTCCAAAATAATGCAGGCAATAATATATGATGTTTATGCTATTTCTTTCTTGTATTCTACATACAAAAATATATATTTTTTTTACTATAGTCACCCTTTAACATTTTCAGCTGCTTTGCATTACAGACATATCTGTATGACACATGACACAACAGAACACAAATGCACATCTATAAAAATGTGATTTGCAGCAGATTCATTTGGTAGCATTACTTGTCAAAGCCTTCATCACACTATTACTTTAGTGCCGAATCTGGGGATTGAGTGGCTGTGCAATGCAAATAATACATTATTTAGGAGATAAAGTCAGGTTCTTTGTGAGCTCCTTTGGCTTGCGATATGTCTAGCTAAACTAGATGAACTCCAATTTCATTCTAGTACAGTCATGTAAAAAAAAAAAAATATTTTAAAAAATTGATGTTCATACAGCAGTGTTTAATTGGAAGATGACATTCGCTCTTCAGACTACTGAATATTTTGAAAGAAAATTTCCGTATGCCTAGTTTGTAAACTCTCTGATCCATTACTCAGCGGTTCTTAAATAAAGGGCTTTGAACAACTCAGTTTTCAGATGGTAAATAACTTTCAGCTAACCTTCCCCTCCTCTCTCTCCCCTGGTGCCGTGGAATGCGTGTCCCCTGCAAAAGCCTGATAAAAGCCAAAGCCACCGGGAAATGTAAACAGCCCTTTCAAAACCTTTGTTTAAAAGGCAACTTCAAATGACAAGTTTGCAGCATATGAAATAAAGGAGCAATTCCACCTAAATATAACCCTTGTTACTTCACAATTGTAGCTTCCATTACCATTCTCTGTTTAAGCTGTGAGGGACGACTGTGATTTCTCAATTAGGTTAAATTTATCACAATAAGTAGAGGGGGGGCTTGTAAATTGTTAATGTCAATGAGGGGAAAAAACTGTCTGTCTGTCTATCCATCTATCTGTCTGCCTTTCCAGAAGTATGATTTTATTAATTTTAGAATGCCACCAAAATAATTAAGTGGATCGCCTGTCAACTGAAAAAAGAAACATACAAATGTAATATTATTATTAATATTAGGAAATTATATTCGCATCTTTTTTTAAACTGCTCAGCAATTTGTAAGCTATTTTGAAAGGGAAGTTCTAAAACAACACAAAAAAAATAAACCCCAAAAAATCATAATGGCAACATATATGCCAATACAGAGGTGGGCGGGGAAGACAGCAGGTGTGTAGACGGGCAGACCTGTCCATCAAGGGGACTCAAAAAGCCAGAACTGTCATTATTGGATGATCTCATTACAGAAGCTAAAATGACTTGGGTTTACAACAACTTCAACTGTGCGTGTTTTTTTTTTTTTTTTAATACTTTTTAATGTTTTGTTATGTTAGTTTTGTATTACTGTTTTGCAAAATAAATAAGCCAGCTCTATTTTGAAGTAAATTCAGGAGAAGGTAAGATGCAGGTATGTGAATACAGTGAAATACACTTCAGCTGTAAACTCACCCAAACGCTCCCTTGAGTTATCTGAAAATTATATGTATAGTACATCCTGTACATTTCATATGACCTATGTTTTTATCAGTTGAAGTATCACTAGCACCCAGAATAGCATCTGTTTTGTCTTAATAAATATGCCTCAATACGAAAATATGAGAAAGTCCACATTTGCTATTTACCATATATTGTCAGTTTTCTAAAGAATTTCTTGATGGAGATGCAGTGCCTGAAAACGTATTATTATTTTTTTCCTTATGCACAAAATAGTATATAAGCAAATTAACTCAAATTAAAAGTGCCTAAAATGCTCAAATCAGTTCTTAATTGTAGATTATGTATAGCAACCTTAAAGTTGGTTCCAGGTGACTATAGAAGCCGTGTGTGGATGTTGAATGCAAGTTTGCGTAATTAGCTTCAAAGCTGCAGTTTGTTATCATCAACCTGTGGACCACATTCAAAACCACATCATGGGACAGGAAAGTAAACAAAGTTAACTGTGATAGTTTACTGATTCTGCACTCCAGCCAGAAGGATTGCATTAGGGAGCAGTTTGTTCTTACCAAAAGTCCACAGATAAGTAATAACTCAAGAAAGTACACTTGTCTTTGATCCCATAACTGGCTGGCCATAACCTTTTCTACTGCTAACTCCAAAATGTGACCATAAGCCTTCCTTTCGTATCTGTCAAACCCTGCGGCCCACAAGATGTTGCTGAATTATGACAGTGCTCGTGTACTCTGACCAAGTACCTCAGCCCAGTCCGCTTCCTAGTCGCTTGTAGTTATCTTGGAACACGTCAGCCCCTGTCGCCAAAGCTTGACTGGGGTCTCTCTGGAACAACTGACCCGGCTGCAGCTCTCTTCTTCCAGGCAGGTATCACCCCCTCTGCCTATGTCACTGCAGCTCTCTCCTTCCAACCATGTATTGTCACTTCTGCCTATTCCGCTGCAGCTCTTCTAGGCAGGTATCCGAAACATAAAAATCTCCCGAATGCCTCTACTCTATATGCCGTGAGTAGGGGCATGTCTACGAAACAGTAAGCAGCCAGTGGCTGCTCACTGTTAAAAAAAAAATGCACCCCACTTCCTACCCCCGGCCCCCACCCATGTGTGGCGGGTGGGGACCCTAATTAATTAAAGGGAGGGACCTTATATCCCCCATGGTCCCCACCCATTAGTGTGGGTGGGTCCCCAGTTAAATAAATAATGGGTGGACCTAATGTCCCCCCTGCTCCCCACCAATGACCAGTGGGTGGGGACCCTAATTAAATCATGGGGGGACCTATGAGCAGCGGGTGGGAGCCCTAAGTAACAAAAGGGGGACCTATTGTCTTCCCCCCCCCTTCGGCCCCCACCCTTGAGCGGCGGGTGGGGCCCCTCAGTAACAAAGGGGGGAACTATTGTCTCCCCCCGGCCCCACCCATGAGCGGCGGGTGGGGACCCTAATTAAATAATTATTGGGAGGGACTTAAGGCCCCCTCTGGTCCCTGCACACGAGTGGCAGGTGAGGACCCTAATTAATTAATTAAAGGGGGGGACCTAATGTCCCCCCTAGTCCCCGACCATAAGCAGCGGGTGGGGACCTAATTAAATATATAATGGTGTGGACCTAATGTCCCCCCCAGGTCCCCACCCATAAGCGGCGGGTGGGGACCACAAATAATAAAGTGACTAGGGGTCCCCAAGCCCCTGGTCACTCCCCCCAATAAATATACCCTACCTACCCCTCTCACCCTAATAATAGTGAGGGGGGGCAATAAACTAACACTCTGTAAAATAACATTTCATATTTCCCATTAGATGTCTTCTTTCTTCTTTTCTTTCTTCAGCCCTAAAAAACAGCACATAAAAATCCATAATTGTCCAGTCACAACTGTTAAAATAAAAAAATAAAAAAGAACCGGAGCCCAAAAAAAACTGCCAGAAAAAATAATCCATGTTTAACCATGGTGGGCACCGTGCAGAATGAGCTTTGCAGGGCGGGTGAAGCCACCTAAAGGGCTACCCATGCACTGCAATTTGACTCAGAGCACTCTGATTGGTTGGCTTAGAATCCAACCAATCAGAGTGCTCTGACAGGTAAATGAAGAGACTGACAGGTAAGTGTCTACATTTACCTGTCACAGCACTCTGATTGGTTGGCTTGGAATCACTCCAACACATTGCTTCTAATAAATCCTCACTATACAAGGACGCTGCACAGATGCTACCTCTATCTCTCTCTCTCTGGGCTCTAGAAGATGTGTAGGAGTCCCAGGTATGTTTCCCTAATAGCTAGGAAGCCATCCCATCGTGATGGAGCTCCTGTACTCCGAACGAGTACCTCTGCCCAGTCCGCTTCCTAGCTGCATGTAGGGACCCTGAAACGCTTCAGCCTTAGTTGTGAAGCTTGACTGGAGTCTCTCTGGAACTCTTCCAACTGACCCGGCTCTGTCTGACTCTGTCACTGGGATCCATAAAAATCCACACAGGACACCCAGTTTCAAATGGAACTAACATAAAAAACTTTATATGTTCATTAGATATGGATTACTTTGACAACTCAATAAAAATACAAACAGTCAAATCACATTAGACAACATACAGGAACTTATAATAACATAATGTGTCTATAATTCAAGGTAAGCGATATTTAAATTATTTTACCATATCATATGTATTATCAAGTATCTACTAAGAGTTTAGAGAGACTGAAGATTAATTTATAGACAAGAAGATTATTTGTGTGGGGAAATAATGTGTTACTGTGCATCCACAAATATTTAACAGGAATTATGCAACTACTGGAGTGTTAACATTTTAATGATGTTTTATTTCCTCAGATCTGAATTGCAGGATTATTAGTGAACCAGAGGTTTTATAAAGGTGTAGCCCATACAGAAGCTATGCATTTCTTGTCATGATATTGCTCTCCTATGTCTCATAATTCATCAATGATTGACCCTCTACCTCTCTAATACTTACTATCCATCTTCTCTCTTTCCACCATGATCTCATTTATCACATTCCCCATTCCTTAATATTACATAGTTGCCTAAGTTGAAAAAAGACTGAAGCCCATCAACTTCAACTTTGAAACACATTATTTTATGCTGTTGATCCAAAAGAAGCCATTTCCATTTATGACACAAAAAAAGGGTAAACAAATATATATATATATCTTGACATCATTATAGCAACCAGATTTCTGGATTAACAGCCTGTTTACATACATTGGAATATTCTGTTTATGCAATAAAGTATTCAAGCATTTAAAAAAAAACAAAAAAAAAACAATAGAATCTGATAAGACAACCTCTTTAGGCAGAGAATTCCACATCTTTATTGTTCATACTATAAAACGTCTTTCTTCTAGTCTCAATGGGTGATCTCTTGTCCCTTTTTATACACAAAAGCACTTTTCTATCTTTTGCAATGGCAGACCGGCATTCACCTCATTCCTTTCCAAGTCATGCTTTTAATTCTTTAACAACGGAACTGTCAATAAAGGTGAGAAAACAACTGTCTCATTTTGAAGCCTGACAAATCAGACCACCTACCTGCCACACGCATTTCATACTTTGCAGTATTAAGTCTTAAGCCTGTCTTCCAGTCCTAATGAATGGTGTATACATCTGAAGACACACCTGAAAAAAAGAATTACACTAACTGTAACAAGGTTATTACCGTCTAATTATATCTAAATATCTTTATTTACTTAACCATTGCATCAGACTGTTAAAAATACATAATTACACAATACAATTTGTAATTGTCCTTAAAACAATGTTTACTCTATCAGTATATTAAATACTTATTATTATTATTTTATTATTTATATAGCGCCAGAAAATTCTGTAGCGTTGTACAACATTATCTATAATTGGCAAAGTATTAAGTATTATTCAGTGTATATTCCAAGGATCAAATTCCTTAAAATAAGACACACACATTTTAGCAAAATGTTTAAAAATAAGTTTGTGTTTTTTATGTGCTGATGTTTTTCTACATGCTACAGGCTATATGCACTTCATTTTCTCTTTCATAAGCCATGTTGTCCCAACTCCCCCTCATATTAAAGCTTGGCAGGGAGTGTTGAGTACCTTAGTAGGGATCATAGTAGCCACACTATAAGCACCAAAACAACTTAATAAAGCTTAATGGAGTAGCTTTGGTGTATAGATCATGCTCCACACAATCTCATTGCTTAATGCTCTATCATTTAGGAGTTAAATCACTTAGTTTATGCAGCCCTAGTCACACCTCTCCTGCATGTTACAGTCTCCCTATGTATTTCCTGTAAATAGAGAGCCAATGTTTAAACTTCCTTTATTACACAGTCTGTTTAATTTTGGATTTCTTATCTACTGCTCTTTTAATAGCATGCTAGAGGCTGTAGGGGCTGCATGAGTGTGATTAAAGTACAATTAATAGAGCAGGACATAAACATCAAAAGTAAACACACTGTGCTGTCACATTTGATTGATTTAAAAAAAAAAAAATTAATGTAGACAATATGAGTCACAGCCAGGGGGTTTGTGGCTTGGGCTGTATAAACAGAGTCAAAACAGGCAGATAAATGAGCAGTGAGACTGCAGGAGCAAAACTGCTTCATTTAGCTAAAGTTGTTTCGGTGCTTACACTATCCCGTTAAGCTTTTCTCCATTAAGAAGCCTTTACTTGCCTTTCAACCCTCATAAACCAGATGTATCAGCTAATGTTTTCTTGTAACTAGAATATCTAGTCCCCAGCATTAGGCCATTAGGCGATTAGGCTCTTACCCGTGCCCCTTTTTTTCTCCAGAGACTTCTGAAGAACTAACAGATTTGTTTATAGATTCCTCCACTTATTCCTACAAGCAGGTATCTAACTTTTCCCTAGTCCCACAAACATTAGGAAGATGATAGATGCAGTGGATAGAACTAACTTTTTTAAGGAACACAATGAGTTTTACACAGAGTGAAACCCATTGAAAGGATCAGAAACAAATACCCCACTGCTAGGATGCCTGGGATCTAGGATGAAGGA